CTCAAGGGCAGCTAACAACAACAACAACAACAACAACAACAACAACAAACATTTCAGACAAAGTTTCATGGGCTTTTCTTTTCATATTGGCCTGTTCTAATTACCAGTTTTGTTTTTACGGTGTTACTTTAACATTATTGGGTTAGGTTTTTATATATGATTTAAATATTATAGTGAGTTATTTTCTACCTACTCAACTTTCCCAACCTCTGATGAAGGCTTCTAATGCTATAAATATAAATTATACTTAACCTAATAACATCTCAATTTTATGTCTTAGAATAAAAACATGCTTGATTTGGCTTCTCAGTGGCTGCTGCTATCCCAACACCTCTAAATTTTGAAGTTGTGACTCATGTTGATCAAGGAGGGTCGCTACAGCCGTGAGTGATTTCACTGCCATCTGAACAGGTGCGCTCACCTTGGCTCACTGCTGGCTGCTGCTATCACAACACTTGTGAGTTCTGACACTATACCTCAGGTTGATTAAAGAGAGTCACTGCAACCAAGTGCTTTTGTCTGGTGAGTCTGCTAATACACATAACGAACTATTCAGGCCACCCTTGAAGCCCAGAAGGTGACCATCAGGACATTCAGTCTCTCTTGGGACACTTGAATTTTGCCTGCAGAGTGGTTTCACCTGGCAGGGCATTTTGTGCCCGGCTGGCCAGAGTCACTGCAGGGATCAGGGTAGCCAATCATCATATCCGCATCACCAGGGGTATAAAACAAGATTTCATATTGTGGTTGGATTTCATCTAAGGTTTCAATTGCTTTTTCCTGCGGTAGTGCCCTTGGAACCTGGGTCAAGACCTCCAAGTTCACGTGGATGCTGCTGGGAGTTTGGGCTTTGGAGTCCTTTTCCAGGATCATTGGTGCACCCAATGCTGGCCCATTGGGCACAGGGTGGGATCCTCTGGGACCTCACATTCCTGGAATTTCCCCCCATCCTGGTGGAGGTTCACTTTTGGGGTGTATCTTGTTTGGTTTTGGTGCAACAACCAGACTGTGCCAGGATCCTCAATCACCAATTTTCCATATCTGAGCAGGTCACGCACCTGGTCTGCCATTTCGTTTTGTTGTGCCTCTGCAACAACATCACTTTCAAAGCCCATTTTGTACCAGGCCTTGAGATTAACATCACCACATGCTCTTTCTCATTTCCAGGATGCCAGGTTCCAATACTTGGTGCGCAGAGCACACCTCTTCCCCACACCTTCCCCAGAGGAGCTGCGGGATCTCAGAAGCAAGCTGTGATACAGGGAGTTCTGTCTTCACCGGCCTCTGCCACTTTCAGAGATCCAGGAGGGCTGTTGCCAATTTTTTTCTCCTCCTGCAGGGCAATGGGCCTCTGGGCAAATTGGCCAGTGTGTGAAATTGAAGGCTTTCATGGTTGGCATCCATAGTTTTTTGTGGGTTTTTCAGGCTGTGTGGCCGTGTTCTAGAAGAATATATTCCTGATGTTTCGCCTGCATCTGTGGCTGGCATCTTCAGAGAATGGTGGCATGGAGGTGTGTGGGGTATATATACTGTGTGACCCTTGGTTGAGAAGAGCTAATCTTCTCAATCAAGGGTCACACAGTATATATACCTCACACACCTCCATGCCACTATTCTCTGAAGATGCCAGCCACAGATGCAGGCAAAACATTAGGAATACATTCTTCTAGAGCAGGGATAGGCAACCTTTCCCCTTTAAGGGCCGAGGGACTTCAGCTCCCTGAATCCCAGGAGCTATTGGCCAACATGGGACTATTGGCCAACATGGCTGAGGCTTCTGGGAGCTGAAGTCCCTCGGCCCTTAAAGGGGAAAGGTTGCCTACCCCTGTTCTAGTGCATGGCCTCACAGCCTGAAAAATCCACAGAAGCTTATGGCCAGTGTGTATTTGCACCATCCTGCGATTCCTTGCCGGGCTATGGCAGGAGGGCTATGACAGGGAGGGCTATGACAGGGAGGTTTTGCCCCACGCACCATGTCAGTCCACTTGGCTGGTAATTCTTTCTTTCTGAAGGCTGATGCATCCTTTCTCATCAAGAGGGCTATTGAGGGTTAGAGGTGGACATCACTCAGATGGGTGGAAGGGAGAAGGCCCATTTGTTTCAAACTGCTTTCCAGGGTCTCTTGACATACAAGAGGGTATGTCATTCCAGAGTGGATGTCCACCTTTTCCAAGCTGCTTTTGTAACTGCCTTTTGAGGCCCTCTGGGTGGGTGAGCCGATTCCCTCTTCCAGGAAGGACTGGGTTGGGAGGGCACTGAGGTGGGAAGATGTCTCTTTTGTTGGAAATGTTGTGTTGCTAGTTCTTCACAGATCCAAGTGTGACCAGTTGGGAAAAGGGTCCACCATCAGGCTTCAATGGCTTCATGGCTGCTGGCTTTGCCCTGTTCAGACTTTGCACATTGCATCTTGCCTCCCAACTGAAGACCCCCCCCCCCCGATCTCCATGAAGATGGAACTCTACTCACTCAGTTCCAACTGGTGATGGTGCTGAGACCAGTGGTGGGATGCGGACTACCTGTGGACACCATAAGGATGGGTTGGTGGAAGTCTGGGGCATTTGCTGTCTATGTTCATGCAGGTGTTGCCTCTTGCACTGGGAGCCATGAGGACTGCAGGCTTGTGTCACCTGTTTGTATAGATTTCAGTAGGGGTTGGTGGAATGCAGCTCCCCTGTCTTGGGGGGGGCAGCCTTTTGTGGAGGTAGCATAGGTTGTAGATCTGGTGTGGTGTGGCTTCCAGTGCTGTGGAGCACTGGATCAGGAGT